CTATATCAAAATGCCACGAAGCAAATCGTCGAATTTTAATCACTCAAAACTCAAATTAGGCCTCCCGTCACGCAACACTCAAATAGACACTCAATTCGAGGCGGTATTAAAGATACCCAAATCTTCGATAGTAATTAGGCGCGCACCATACTCAAATTCGGGCGTTGATCGCAATCAATTTTTGTCAAGTTATTAAAATAAAACAATAAATCAAGGAAAACCTGCAATGAAATTAGGAAATCAAAAGTGAAAGGGGGTTGATCCTATTTTTGTTAATATGGAGGAATTAATTAAAATAGAAAATAAATTATTTATTTCAAAAATTTTTAATTCAATTATTTTTAATAAAATTGAAAATAAAATATTAATAGATGCGATTGATTAAGAAAATATTTTAAAGCAGCTTCTGATGATTAAAGATTTTTAGAATTGGAAATTAGGGGGATTAATCTTAATAAATAGATTTCTAACCCTTTTCAACATCATTATCAAGAATAAGCTGTAATAGAAATTAATGTTATAAAAAAAGAGCAAAATTAAAAAATATTTTACTTGAATTTAAATTAAAAAAGATAAAAATAGCAGGTTAGCTTTGTATTTTCGATTCAATACATTTATATTTAAGTGTAAGATGCACAATAATTTTTGATATTATAAGATATAGTTAATTTTATAAAATATAGTGAAGGTAGAAATCTATTTCATTCATTCAACAGAATAATTCTTTAATCACAAGAAAGGTTCTCGAGAGGCAGCCTCGTACCGGTAGGCAAATTGGAGGGCGACCCCCACTAGATGGAGTGAAGAATTGGTAGGACATGCAGGAAGTCGATGGATGTAGATGGCTCAGGAGCGTGCTTTGTGGCATTCCCTGGGGGATGACTATGTTCAGCAGTGGACTTATAAAAGGCTGTAACGATGATGACGATGATGATGATGAAGGACTTCAAGTACTGGTTTTTCTACCCACTTTCAGAAGCTCAGCTGTAATTCCATCCTCGCCCGGGGCCTTGCCGTTTTTAAAGTGCTGGAGAGTCATTCTAATCTCGCTCAGACTGACGTCCGGATTATCTTCGGAATAGTGTCCGATAAGACTCACTCTTGGATCGTTACTCACACTTGCGTGTGGCTCCCACGATGACATGTACAGCTGCCCATAGAACCTCTCAATCTCACTCAAAATCTCTGGTGTCCCGGAAGGGATGCTGCCACAGTCGGTCTTCAACTTTGACAGTTGGCTCTTTCTGGCAGACTGAAAGGTTTCGGAACTTTGGAGTAGAGCACAAGGGGGACGAAGCGTTGACTTCATTAGACGAGACCTCTCTAACTTATCGTTTAAGTTCAGTGTGCCTCTAACCATTCGGTACCGTATCGCTACCAGTTTTCACCCTCGCGTTAACAGTTGTGGTCTGGTCATTATGTTGAAGTCAATCTCATTTTTTGTCGAACCGTCGGGGCTCGACCAAGTCCACTTCCTGTGGGGCCGCTTCTGGAAGAAAGAGTTCATCATAAAGAGTCCCTCTTTCTCCATGAAGTCCGTCAGCTGCTGGCCCTCTGGGTTCTGTTGCTCTATTCCAAATTTCCCTACTTTCAGCTCACTGTTCTCTCTTGTGCCTAGTTTTGCATTGCAGTCTCCCATTAACACCGTATATTGGGTTTTGGAGAAATGCATGGCTCTAGAGATATCCTCATACATTTCCTCCACCTCCTCATCGGAATGTGTCAGGGTTGGTGCGTACCCGTATGACCTTCAGCGAATACCGTTTGGTGATTCTGAGTATAAGGTACGCAACCCTCGTTGACACACTCCCAATCTTTACAACGTTGTTAACGAGAGACTTGTGGACGATCAATCCGACACCTCCTTGGGACAGATGGTCGGTCTCCCGGTGATAGAGCAAGTTGCAGGATTCAAGAATTACCGTGTCCTTCTCCTCTCTTCGGACCTCGGATAATCCAATAATATTCGAGCGCAACTTGTCTATCTCTTCTTCCAGCTCCAGGATCTTCTCGTCAGTCCTCAGGGTGCGTGCGTTTTAACCGAACCTTCACCGGAGATTCCTAGCACCCCTTGCACCGCCGTTACCATGGTCGTCACCGTAGCCAGGAATAGCGGGGCCACCGGGGACTGGGGACCATCTTTTTCTATCTTTTATCATGGGGGTATATTGCCAAAGTTGCCACGCTTAGCGAGCGGGTTGGCAACCGCAGAGCGTGTTTTGTGGCATTCCTTGGGGGAGGTATATGTCCAGCAGTGGACTTGTGAAGGTCTGTAATAATGATGATGATGATGATTATGAATAAAAAGGAAGAACTTATTCAATATTTAATAAATTATATTAAATGTTGGTATGTCTGTCAGTGATATCTGTGCCAAATATTACATCAAAGTAATCATTAGTGTTCAGTATACTCTTGTCTTTTTGAAGTACAAAAAGTACATCCGGCGATTTTTACATTGAGTGGAATTATTCAACAAAGAAGTTCCATTAAATTTTGTGTCCGGAATCAAATTTCTGGTGCCGAAACGTTCAGAACGTTGCAAAAGGCCTTTGTTGATAATTGTATGTCGCGAACAAGTGTTTTAAATTGGTAAAAATTATTCAAAGAGGATCGAGAACGCGTTGACGACAAACCACGTCCATGACGGCCATCAACATCAACTAATGATCAACACGTCAATAAAATCAAGGAAATGGTGCTCGAGAATCGACGATTAACAGTCAGAGACCTTACTGATATCGTTGAAATATATAAAGGATCAGTGAAAACCATTTTAAAAGATCATTTGTCGTCTGTGAAACAATGCTTTCCGATGACCAGGATGTCATGAAACGTATTACAACTGGCGACGAGTCTTGGATCTACGCTTACGACCCGGAAACTGACGATCAATTGGCCGAATATCGTGCCAAAGCTGAGCCAAAGCCGAAAAAACCATGTCAAGGCAAATCAAAAATCAAGGTCATGTTGACAATTTTTTCGACCAGGCGTGGAGCACTCGGAATTCCTTCCGACCGGCCAAACTTTCAACAAGGAATACTATTTGAGTGTTATGTGTCGTTTGCGCGAAACTATTCGTAAAAAGAGGCCGGGATTATGGGCCGATAACTCTTGGTTTTTGCACCACGATAATGCACCGTCGTATACTGCATTGATTCTTTGTGAGTTTTTCGCCAAAAATTCAACCAATATCGTACCAAAACCACCGTATTCGCCTGATTTAGCTCCGTTCGACTTCTGGCTGTTCAGCAAACTCAAGCGACCGCTCTGGCGAAACCGTTTTGAGTCAATTGAAGACATTAAACGTGAATCGCAACGTGCATTGAAGGTTATTCCGGAAATTGACTTTAACAACTGTCGAAAAAACGTTGGCATAAGTGAATTTCGGCCGGGGGGGATTACTTCGAGGGGATGAAATAGATTTGGCAGAATAAATAAAGAATTTTAAAATTATGAACGAAGTCTTACTATTTTTTGCCCACAGTATTATATATTTATTTAGATATTTTAAAAATGTAGTTTAATTTTTATTTAAAAATTATTTATTAATATTTTAATATAAAATCTGTATAACAAAATTGTATTTATAAATAATTTTTTAATGATTTATAAAATTTTATTTTATTTTATTTTACAAATTTTAGTGTAGAGTTTTAATTATTTCAATAATTTATTATTAAGATTTGCAGTAATTAAAATTAAAAATTTTAGGAATTCAGATTTAGTAATATTTATTTTTATAAACAATTTTTTTGCCGGCAGTTGCAGTTATACAAAAAATAATTTAAATTTCATCTGTATATAATAAATATAAATTATTATTAAAATAAATATTAAATTATGTGGTGAAATTTAAAAAAAAGCTAGGATTAGATACCCTATTATTAAAAATTAAATTAAAAATATATATTAAATATTTAAACTTAAATAATTTGGCGGTATTTTAGTTCATTTATAGGAATATGTTGAATAATTGATAATCCACGACTAAATTTACTTAATTTATTATTTTGTATATCGTTGTTAAAATATTTTTTAATAAAAAAAATATTTAAAATTAATTCAGATCAAGATGCAGATTATAATTAAGAATATAATGGATAACAAATAAAAATATATGAATAATATTTTAATATATATAAGGTGGATTTAAATGTAATTTTAATTAATTAATAAAATGATTATATATTAAAATATGTACGTATTGCCCGTCATTTTCATTAATAAATTGGAATAAGAAATAAGAAAGTGTTTCTAGAAAGAAGAAATTAGAGCTGGTCAAATAATCTCATTTATATTAAAAAGATATTGTATTATAATTAATTAAGGTGGATAAATTAATAAAGATGAAATAATAAAAAATATAATATTTAAATAACTTAATGGGGAAAATTAGTACTGTAAAAGAAATTTGAAATATATTGAAAATAAATTTATATGAAGAAAATTCTGTTTCGGCTTTCACGAGGCTCTCGTCAAACAGGATGTTAAAGACAACCAAAAAATATTTTTGACTGTACCCATATCACGATTATTCGCAAGAATAGTCCTATCTGTGACCCGGTCCCAGTAGAGTCTGGAGTGGTCATTTTCGAGCACGGCTTCTAGCAGGTACTTATAACAAGGCAGTTTCTGATCCTTGACACTAGGTGGTGTCTGTGCTCAGAGTTAGAAAGCGCCAAAAACCCGAAGATGACATGCCTACGTGACTCACTGGGGTGGCGACAATCATCTTCGGGACCGTATTTAGGAGCAAGCTGCTACTGAGAGTTTCTTAACAGAAAACCCAATAACTGATTTTGACCCGACCCGTGATTCGAACACCGGACCACCCGATCAGCATTCACGCTTACCATACTAAGAAATCATCAAGGTAATCTACATGTAAATATTAGGTTACCAGGTAGAATATTTTGTTATCCCTTTTAAAATTATATTACTACTGCAATATTTTGTACATATCCAACCAAGAAATAGTTATTATTACGAGGAAGTTTTTACGTGTACTTACTTAAATATTGCCACCAGGAAAGTTTAGGGTTTTCCTTTAGGTCGGAATTTAGTTTCTCTTCTTCAGGCGTAGCACCTGTTAATGTAAATTAATTATTAATCCATTTTTATCAACTTCAAAAAAAAGAGGTTCACCTCTTTGCTTAGTTTAATTTAAATAATTAAAAATAAAAAATTTTGTACAACTTGTACGGTACGGACTCAAAAACTCTTGCTCAAACCTTGATCAATTTATATAGGACCACATGAGAAGTAGAAGTATAAAAAAGTCATATAAAATACAAAATACAATCTATAAACCATATCGAAGCAACCATATCCAAAACAATGAACGTCATAAAGTTAAGTTAAAAGAGCACTAAAGCTATCCAACCTTTCGTTTATATCCTAGTTGACTAAGAGAAAATGCCAAAAGGCATTAAGGCCGCCGTTTGAAATCCTTCTATTAAGGTGTACAATAAAGTTTAAATAAAGAAATAAATAAATAAACGAAAGAGTGGATACCCTTTCGTTTATATATTTTACTGACCTAACTTCTCGTCTCTCTTTGGGGGAAGTACGTTGTTTTGATTGGCTCTAACCGCACACGGCGTTGGCCTGTGTAGAGATGTGTGCCTCCCCCACATTTTTTTAAATGTGGGAGAGCGTAGCCCTTGTATAAGGTAGCTTTATATAAATATTAGAAAGGAATAATTAATAAAAAATTGACTTGGGGGATGAGTCGCTCGCGTCCGTAGGCTTCGACCACCTAATCCTAGGCCCACCCTACACGTGTCTCCCGGGTGGTGCTAAACGAGCGACAAAGCCGACAAAGCCGATAGAATAGACTCGGCTCCTCACCGTATGGTAGCGGCGTAAAATCTACCACCACTTAGTTCGCAACATGAGCCAAGAAGAAAAAGATATGGCCCCGAGTTCCCGGCGCCCCTTTATTGGGGCAGGGGTACGAAGAATCTCCGGGAGAAAAACCGGCGACGAGGTTCGCCACCCGTCACTTCCTGTCTCCCGGAGGGGTGAAAAGTGGATTGCGGAGGCCCGTATGGCTACGCTGAATGTATGTAGAGCAATGAATGATAAGATGGATGAAGTATGCGAAATGATGAATGATAGAGGAATAGATGTGTTATGTGTAAACGAGACGAAACGAAAGGGAAGAGATGTCACTGCACATGGCATGTATACCGCTTACTGGTCTGGAGCAGACGACACCGAGCGGGCATGCCAGGGAGTCGGTGTCATCCTTTCAGAAAGAATGGGTCAATGTGTGAAAGAGTATGAATATGTAAGCCCAAGGCTGCTGTGGATACGAATTAAAGTGGGCTTAGAGAAGTTGTTCATGCTTGGAGTATACGCCCCAGATATGTCTAAGCCCACTTATATCCGAGAGCAGTTTTGGGACATGGTAAGGCTGGTGTTGACGAAATGTAAGGAAAATGAAAATATTATTATGTTAGGAGATTTTAATGGAAGGGTTGGGGTAAAGAGGTCAGGTTATGAAAGAATATTAGGAATGTTTGGCGATGAAAGAATAAATGAGAATGGTGAAGACCTCCTCACCGTATGTGTGGAAAATAATATTTTTGTTGCGAACACTTTCTTTCGCCATAAGAGGATTCACATGTATACATGGGAAAGAGGGGATGATAGAAGCATGATAGATTTCATAATTGTGGATGAAAGAATGAGGAGCGCAGTGGTAGATACAAGGGATTACCGGGGGTCCAACGTAGGGACGGATCATTACTTGGTCTTATGCCGAATTAATGGTCTATTCAGACGTTGGCGGCATCGGAGATCTGTGCGTACCACTGCGTTACAGCGTATAAAAATAGAGAGGTTACAAGATGAAGGTGTGAAAGAGAAATATAAATCCAGACTGAGGGAAAATATAAGTGGGTTGAATGAATTATGTATGAATGATTTAGACTTGAAGAATGAATGGAATAATATTAAGAAAGTTTTGGTGGATGCAGCCACTGAAGTATGTGGTGTAAGTAAGAGAATGAATGAGAGGAAAAGTAATACGTTGTGGTGGGATGATAAGGTACGGATGGAAGTTGAAGCAAAGAAAGCAGCATGGCTAGATTTACTAGCAACTAAAGCTGGTAATTCTGGCGGTATGAATGATGAGATTGAAAGAAAAAGGCAGACTTTAGACGTATAAATAAGAGAGTAAAAGAAGTTGTTGAAAGGAAAAAGCAAGAAAGGATAGATTTAAATGATAGAAGGATATCTGATAACTTCCAGGCAAATATTAAAATGTTCTGAAAGCTCGTAAGAACTGCCAGGGGAAATTCAAAACAGCCTAGAATAAATTCTATACGCGACGAGAATGGCTGCATGCTGAATGATGAAGTTTTGAATTTAAAGAGATGGAAGGAATACTTTAAAAGCGTGTTTAAGAGTGAAGAGTCGTCTGAAGTAAGTGGAATAGAAATTCCGGAAGAAGTGTAGAGGGGTAGGGAGATAAGTGGAGATGAAATAATGAAAGCAATGAAAAGCGTGAAAGCATGTGAGGCAGCCGGATATGATAGAATATCACTCGTAATGCTATGGGCTGGAGAGGGTGTGATTGCAGGCCTGCTGTGCACCTTATTTAATTTATGTTGGGAACTGAAGTGGTTACCGGAAGACTGGTGCAAAGCCGTTATAGTCCCAATATATAAGGGAAAGGGCTCGCAGCAGGACTGTAAAAACTACCGTGGTATCAGCTTGCTTAGCATTGTGGGTAAACTGTATGCTAAGGTGTTAATTGAAAGAGTTAAGGAAGAAACTGATGGAAAAATGTGGGATGTGCAAGCTGGATTTAGAAAGGGGATGGGGTGTACGGATCAATTGTTTTCCATGCGCATGATAGCGGAGAAGTTTTTGGCCAAAAACCAGAAAGTTTTTTGTGCGTTCATGGACTTGGAAAAGGCTTATGACAGAGTGGACAGGAATGTGTTATGGCAAACACTGAACTCATTTGTGTTGAGCGCTGGCTTGATACAGGCATTAAGGTCTCTTTATAGGGACTCTAGTGCTTGTGTCAGGATCAACGGGGTCTACTCAGACTGGTTTGGCATTCAAAAAGGTGTCAGATAGCGCTGTGTAGCTTCCCCGAGGCTGTTTAATCTATTTATGGACAGTTGTTTGCAAAATTTGAAAGTTGAAGAATGTGGGTTGAGAATGGGTGAGTTATGATGATGATCAAGTCATATTTGCATCGTCGGCGGCCGAGTTGCAAATGATGGTTACTTTAATGAATTGGTCATTGAAATAAAAGTGTATAAAAGTGAACGCAAGTAAGACGAAAGTGATGGTTTTTGAAAGAGAAGAAAGTAAAACTTTATGTGAAATAAGAATAGAAGGGGAGTTGATTGAGCAAGTGGATGAGTTTGTATATTTGGGATGTTTATTTAGCAGGGATGGTAGACAGAGTGAATGGGGCTCTACACGCTATTATGAGGAGTCAGAATGTGTCAAATACGGCACGTATGGCAATTCATAATGCTGTGTTAGTCCCTACTTTAATGTATGGTAGTGAAAGTTGGGTTTGGCAGAAGAAGCATGAGAGTAGAATAAATGCTGTAGAAATGCGGTCCTTAAGGAGTATGCTAGGGCTGAATCTGAATGACAGGATGAGAAATAGTGTGATAAGAGAAAAGTGTGGTTTGCAAGATGACGTTGTGACAAGGATTAAGAAAGGAATGCTTCGGTGGTTTGTTCATGTAGAAATAATGAACGAGGAAAGAGTGACAATGCAAATTTATGTTGCAGAAGTGAACGGCAGGGTCGGGAGGTGACGCCCTAGACGAAGGCTTATCGACCAAATCGGCGATACATTAAAAATGGGGCAGATTAGGTGTACCCTTTACCGACGAGCGAGTATGTGTAGATATGTAAAGGAGACGAGAGAGGTGTGTCAGGATCGCGCCAAATGGAAGTCCGTAGTCTCTGCCTACCCCTATGGGTGACAGGCTTGAGTGTTTATGTTATATGAATGTTATGTTAAATTAACTTATGTGAGCCTGATAAAAGTGAAATAAGTTTAATGTTTTTTAAACTTTTTGAGCCTTTTCCTCGTGAACAGGGTTCTGTAACTTAATAAGTGCCTGTATTTCTTTTTTCAAGGCTTTAGTGGATATTAATTCTTCCGAGGGACACCTAAAATAACTAATTTAATAAAAAACACAACGTAAATAAGAACCTTAAGTAAGACAATCACGCCATATAACAAATAGCCTAAAACTAAACCTCTATATTTATTTACCTGATCACGCAAATATATATTATTTAATATTTTTTTTATATTTTAACAGAAGGCCAATTTTATTTATAGAAGGGTTTCGTTACAATTTTCTATTCTCCATAACCTTGATTTGCTATTAAGACCTAAAAAATCGGTTAGCGATGTGGAAGGCTTACGTCCAAATGTGGAATCTGTGTACTTATTGATATTTTCAAGAACAACGACTATTTTTCTATGATACCCACCACCCAAATCCGGATTAAGCGCCCTTCGAAGCGTTTTCAATTCTTCTTCAACCAGATTAGAATTGATGGACGTGCCTCTGTAGAATGCGATTGCTCGTTTAGCCTCCTGTAAATAGAAGAGATAATGTATATACACCATGCGGTATTGGCATAAAAGACAGTGGCGTCTTTAGAGCAGGACGTTTTGGGTGATGGCCGGGACGTCAGTGTCAAGAGAGCCACGTGTTCGTGCGGCACTGTGACCTACTAATTAATCTATTATCATAGCCAACCTGGGTCACAAACTAGGGCTACTTCTATTATTATGTTATCAAGTGGAGCTGTCGTCAAGCACTGGTTTATTAAGTGAAAAGTCTCAAAATGTCTCGCTCGGAAAGCTAAAGCCCGCTCTAATGTGGGTTTCACATGTAATCCCGTGGGTAATGCTAATATGTGTTTTAGGAGAGACTAGATACAAATTCAACAAGGTATACATAATATATTTTTAACACCGTTAGAAGATTAACCCGACATCAACCCGTAGATATCGTTAGAGGCAACAGTAGGAAACAGAACCAGGATATGGGCAGCAGCATCTTCCTAATAACAGCTAAATAAAAATTATAAACTGTGATTGCTGAACCCCTCGCCAAGTTTGAAAACTATGACAAATATCCTGACTATAACGCAATATATGGGGGAGACATGTAATCAGCAATGGGCTTTTGATAGGTTTTAATTGTAATAAAGTATTTAGACAGGCTACGAGACCAGTGCTAGTGTAGACATATGGGCCTGTGACATGGTCCTTTACTGCTGGCTGTATGAGAAAACTCATAGCATACAGCGAGCTCAGGTTAGTTTAACTACCTACTATTTTTGTCCGTCCGTTTGTCTTTTCTTTATAGGAGAGGGGACAATCGAGCATGCGGCTCACCTGATGCCAAGTGACTACCGCCGTCCATGAACAAATGCAACACCAGGGGAATTGCAGATGGGTTGCCGGCCTTTTAAAAAGGCGTTTTCTTGAAGAACCCTAAGTCGTATCGGTCCGGAAAAATCGCTGGTGGTAAACTATTCCACAAGGAAGTTGTGCGAGGAAGAAAACATCTTCTAAATTGCACAGTGGTGGACGGCCAATCATCCGGATGGTGCGGATGGTATTGAAAGTTCTGCCGCGATGTGCGTTCGTGAAATTTGGCGGCTGGGATTAATCCGAACAATTCCTCAGAGCACTCTCCGTGGTAAATGCGAAAGAAGATGCAAAGAGATGCAACATCTCTTCGCTGCGCCAATGAATCGAGCTGATCGGAAAGGACTCGGTGTTCGACGATTCGAGCCGCTCTGCGCTGGATGCGGTCAAGTGGAAGGAGCTGGCACTGGGGAGTCCCAGTCCAGAGAGAGGAACAGTATTCCATGTGAGGCCGAACCTGCGCCTTGTAAAGTTGCAGGCGGCGTGCCGGCATGAAATACTGTCCCGCTCTGCTGAGCACGCCAAGCTTTTTAGAAGACAATTTGGCCTTCTCTTCCAAATGACCACGAAACTGCACGTCACTCGATATGTCACCTCCGAGGATACCGATACTGGCTGAGGCAAGAAGGGGAGTGCCTTGAAACTGAGGAGATACGAAAAATGGGTTCTTTTTAGCGGTAAACGCGCAAACTTGTGTCTTCTGAGGGTTAAACTAAACTAGATTTAGTCGCCCCCAATCCGAGACTTTGTTCAGCAAAGAGTCGACTTCAGACACAAGTTTGTTCCGGTACTCGGCGACGTTTTCCCGAGAAATATTGGCAAAGTCGATGTATAGAGCATCACTAGTGCTGTCATCCGCATAGCAATGAATTCTACCGGTTTGCAACATATCATTGATATTCAGAAGAAGCAGCGTTGGCGATAGAACGCAGCCTTGTGGAACACCAGCGTTAATAGGCTTGTAGTTGGAGCATGCACCGTCTACAACGATATTGATGCTCCAATCTGCAAGAAAGCTGGTGATCCAATTGCACGATTTCTCGGGAAGCCCATAGGAAGGGAGCTTCGAAATAAGCGCTTTGTGCCAAACCCGATCGAAGGCCTTCGCAATCATATAGCTTCAATATCAGTCGCATTACCCCATAGCAAAATTCCATAAGAGATTACGCTATGAAAGTAACTATAATACACTAACCTGCCTGTCTCAACATCTGTGAGACTTCTAATCTTTCTTGCGGCATATGCTGCAGAACTAAGTCTGCTTGCTAATTTAGATATATGGGGCCCCATTGACGTTTCACATCAATAGTAATACCAAGAAAAACAGTGATATCCACAAGACTCAACTCCTCCCCATTTAAGAGCACATTGGTTTTTGAATGTTTTATATTGGGTATTGTAAATATAATATACTTTGTCTTATTGCCGTTTAAAAGCAAATTGTTGGCGTAAAACCAATGTACTAATTTCGATATAGCATTAATTCAGAAAAAAAAAACATCGTTGAGTAGAATGACTCATCATCATTACAGCCCTTCACAAGTCCACTACTGAACATAGGCCTCCCCCAAGGAATGCCACAAAGCACGATCTTGAGCCACCTGCATCCATCGACTTCCTGCATGTATTACCAGGTCGCCACTCCATTTCGTGGGGCATCGCCCTACACTTCGCCTACCGGTACGAGGCTGCCTCTCAAGAGTCTTTCTTCCGCATCGGTTGTCGGTTTTTCGAGCTATATGGCCGGCCCACTGCCACTTCAGCTTACTAATCCGTTGGACTATGTCGGTTATTCTGGTTCTACCGCAGATATCCACATTTCTAAGTTTATCACGCAGAAAAACCCCGCCTATAGCCCTGTCCCTAGCTTGCTGAGCGACCTTAAGCTTCCTCATACGGCCGCAGTGAAGGACCCCGTCTCAGATCCGTAAGTCATCACTGGCAACACGCACTGGTTGTACAATTTCGTTTTCAGGATTTGGGTAGATCAAACGAGAAGATGTGTCGTAGTTTCCCGAACGCTGCCCAGCCGAGTTGAATCCGTCGATTGACCGCTCGTTCGAAGTTGGACTTACCTAGTCGGACTATTTGTCCCAGGTAAACATACTCGTCAACAACTTCGAGCTTAGTGCTCCCAACAACTACGAGCATAGGTGTGACATGGACGTTAAGCATGATTTTTGTTTTGTCCATGTTCATCTTAAGACCTATTCGTTGGGAAACACTATTAAGGTCATTGAGCATAGTGCTTAGGTCAGAAGGGAAATCAGTCTGGTATTTTTCAAGAGAGAGTTGTCGCCGTTTTTGAAGAACAAGACCACCGCACTTCTGCTCCACGACTCCGGTGTAGTGCCACCATGGAGGACTGAATAAAAGACCTTCTGAAGGACTTCAAGTACCAGTTTTCCACCCACTTTCAGAAGCTCCGCTGTAATTCCATCCTCGCCCGGGAATTTGCCGTATTTAAGGTGCTGGAGAGCCATTCTAATCTCGCTCACACTGACGTCCGGGATATCTTCGGAATAGTGTCAGATAAGACTCGCTCTTGGATCGTTACTCACACTTGCGTGTGTCTTCAACGATGACGTGGACAGCTGCCCATAGAACCTCACTCAAAATCTCAGTTTTTCCGGAAACGATGCTGCCACGTTCGGTCTTCAGCTTTGACAGTTGTCTCTTTATGGCAGACAGATTTTCTGCAAAGATTTTGGAGCCTTGGTTCCGCTAGATCGCTTCTTCAATACAAGTTGTATTGAAGTTGCGTAAGTCCCTCTACAAGCATTTGGAGATCTGTCTGTTCAGTTGCCTGTATGCTGTCAAATATGTTGAAGAATGTAACTTCATCTCCCGTCTAACAGCTATGGGATTAAGAGTGTGATCGGAGAGTTTTTGTATTCTTCTGCGGCGGGTCTTGCAGAACTTAGCTCCGACCGCATGGACAGTTTCCACGAGCTTGTCATTCATATCGTCCACTTCATTGCAGTCTTCTAGGCACTAAAAAAGTTTTTGTAACTCGAGCTGAAAGGTTTTGGGACTTTGGGACAGAGCACGAGGGGGACGGAGCGTTAACTTCATTAAACGAGACCTCTCCAACTTAACGTTTAGGTTCAGTGTGCCTCTAACCATTCGGTGATCGCTACCAGTTTTCACCCTCGCGATCACGGCGACATCACTGAACAGTTGTCGTCTGGTCGTCATTATGAAGTCAATCTCATATTTCGTCGAACCGTCGAGGCTCGACCAGGTCCACTTCTTGTGGAGCCGCTTCTGGAAGAAAGAGTTTATCATAAAGATTCCCTCTTTCTTCATGAAGTACGCCAGCTGCTGGCCCCTTGGGTTCCGTTGGCCTATTCCAAATTTCCCTACTTTCAGCTCACCGTTCTCTCTTGTGCCTAGTTTTGCATTGAAGTCTCCCATTAACACCGTATAGTGGGTTTTGGAGGAATGCATGGCTCTAGAGATATCCTCATACATTTCAACTCTTGATAGGGGTGTGCCGAAGTTGGTGCGTAAACCTGCATGACCTTCAGCGAATACCGTTTGGTGATTCTGAGTATAAAATACGCAACCCTTGTCGACACACTCTCATTCTTTATAACGTGTTAACGAGAGACTTGTGGAAGATAAATCCGACCTCCTTGGGACAGATGGTCGCCCTCCCGGTGATAGAGAAGTTGACGGATTCGAGGATTACCGTGTCCTCCCCCTCTCTTCGGACCTCGGATAATCCTATAATATGCCAGCGTAACTTGTCTACCTCTTCTTACAGCTCCACGATCTTCTCGTCAGTCCTCAGGGTCGAGTCGTCTTAGGTGGCAACCGAACCTCCACCGGAAATTCTTAGCATCCACTGCCCCGCCACTAAAATGGTCGCTGCATTAGCCAGGAATAGCGGGGCCGCCGGGGACTGAGGGCCGTCTCTTTTTTGCTCTCATCATAGGGGGTTATTTGCCGTAGTTGCCACGCTTGGCGAGCGGGTTGGCAACCGCAGTTTTTTTATTCCGATTTTGCTGTTATCAGGAAGATGCTGCTGCCCATCTCCTGCCTGTTTACCTTTGTCACATTTTACGACACCTACGGAAAGATAGTGGTAGTGGATATTCTTAACCTCCACTACACGGCATTATTTACAACGTCATAATTAATTGACTGCCGTTTGAGTTTGAGTTCCGTTAGCCATAGGCACATACATCTGTCCTTGATTAAAGAACAAAATGCTGATGAGTTGCTATGTCTAAAGTCTAAAATGGATTGCTTGATTACAATTAAAATGGGTCCATTATTATAATTACTGATATAGTTAGCACCAGCGTTAAGCCACTTTTTCACGTTGGTAGTCTATAAGAGCGGCCTACTCCGGTCAAGCAGATCTATCCGTGCTGCAATCATAGCATAGCGAAACCTTGGTTTTTATCACTAAGACATATAGTAAGAGCTTTGAATAAGAATTCAAAAACTCTGTCTGGTGTGATGCTAAGATAATGTGAGTAGCAAAGGGACACCAACCAAAACCAAGAGTAAAAATATACAAATTATTGTTTTGGGGTATACCCAAAACAATAATTTGTATATTTTTACTCAAAATTTGATTCCGGTCATCATCAAACTGCCATCAAATACGTTTTCCACAATGCTGGACTTTGCTTTTCCCGTTAGCAAAGATTTGTCTTAAACACCACACTTGGTAGTGTTAACATTCGCAGTAGCAGATGTCTAGCTACTTACTATCCAAGCTATTATAGCTATGTCTACCTATAATATGAGATGACTATGGCTAGCATTAAAGTCGGTATAGGCTGATAGATTAAAGGAAGAAGCACAACGGTCGAGTTTTGTTTTTCATTCAACTTACGTTCTCGTGACCTTTCCTCATCAGATGTATCGGTGACTCCTTCAAAAAAGATATCAAGACCACTCCAAGCACTGTCATAGATAAACAGGCGTAGTTCATGACGTCGTAGCTCAAATAGCCTCCCATGAGGTAAGAAACGAGCATTCCAATTGATTGGAAGATTATCGCGCTTGAAGTCATCGCCCCACGTATGGAAGCTTGGCAGATCTCGCTGATGTAGATCGGTACAACTAGTGGTATACATCTGCAGATTCCGAACAGAAAACTTGCCGCGAGAATGGCTTCCACCTTGTAGCAAACAGTTATAATGACCCAACTGATCTGTGGATAAAAAAAGACCTGAGTAAATATTCAAACAAGAATATTGTACAAGTTTACAACATTTTTATATTGTATCTAGGTAGGAGAATTTATATAGCTACCTTACGATATGATGTACTCTTTTAATTAAATTTTAATGTTGTAAAATCCTCCCAACATTAATGACTCTTACAATTTTATTATATTGTATAGTAAAATAAAAACGAACACACAGTCCATCTGATGGTACACATACCTAAGGTGTCCAGTAAATAGTACGACATAGTGCAGGGAGTGGTAACTTGGGTCAATAACTACGAAAACAATACAATATATGTACCGCAAAAAGTTACGAATTTATAGTTATACTACATTTTCCAAAATAACGAAAATCTTTACTTTAAACCAGATTTTTAAGCATCTCGTAATTAAAAATTCTTTTCTTACTATTTTGTTTACTTCAAGTTATTTGTGAATAGTTTTGACTCATTCTACTATTCTAATATTCCAAAGATTTCCCGGACGTCATTCTGAGCGAGATTAAAATGGCTCTCCAGCACCTTATAAACGGCAAATCCCCGGGCGAGGATGGAATTACAGCGGAGCTTTTAAAAGCGGGTGGAAAACCGGTACTTTAAGTCCTTCAGAAGCTCTTTAATTCCGTCCTCCATGGTGGCACTATACCGGAGGCGTGGAGCAGAAGTGCGGTGGTCTTGTTATTCAAGAAAGGCGACAACGCTCTCTTGAAGAACAACAGACCGATTTCCCTTCTGAGCCGCGTCTACGTGCTGTTTTCGTAAGTCATTACGAATCGTCTCGCACGCAGACTTGACGACTTCCAGCCTCCCGAACAAGCTGGTTTCCGAAAAGCCTTTAGCACCATGGACCACATACATACCCTGCGGCAGATTGTACAGAAGACAGAGGAGTATAATCTGCCACTTTGCCTTGTGTATGTGGACTATGAGAAAGCCTTTGTTTCCGTCGAAATTTGGGCGGTGCTGCAGTCCCTTCAGCGGTGCCAAGTTGACTGTAGGTATATCGAAGTGCTGAAGTGTTTATACAGTAGAGCTACGATGGCTATCCGAGTACAGAATCAGAGTACGAAATTTATTCAGCTGCAGAGAGGTGTAAGACAGGGTGACGTTATATCCCCGAAACTCTTCACCGCTGCATTGGAAGACGTTTTCAAGCTACTGGACTGGAAAGGATACGGTATTAACACCAATGGCGAGTACATCACGTACCTTCGATTTGCCAACGATATAATCCATATGGCGGAATAGCTGGAGGATCTAAGCACTATGCTCAATGACCTCAATAGTGTCTCTCTACGGATAGGTCTTAAGATGAACATGGACAAAACAAAAATCATGTTTAACGTCCATGTCACACCTATGCCGGTAGATGTTGGGAGCACTAAGCTCGAAGTTGTTGACGAGTATGTTTAACTGGGACAAATAGTCCGAATTAGTAAGTCTAACTTCGACCGAGAAGTCAATCGACGAATTCAACTCGGCTGGGCAGCGTTCGTAACTACGACACATCTTCTCGTTAGACATACCTTAAAACCTAAAAACGAAATTACCAGTGCGTGTTGCCAGTGACGACTTACGGATCTGAGACGTGGTCCTTCACTGCTGGCCGTATAAGGAAGCTCAAGGTCGCTGAGCGAGCTATGAAGAGGGCTATGCTCGTGGTGTCTCTGCGTGATAAACTTAGAAATGAGTATATCCGCAGTAGAACCGGCCATATAGCTTGACGAACCGACAACCGATGGGAAAGAAAAGTTCTCGAGTGGCAGCTTCATACTGGTAGGCGATGTGTAGAGCGACCCCCCACTAGATGGAGTGACGACCTGAGACATGCAGGAATTCAATGGATGCAGGTGGCTCAAGAACGTGCTTTGTGGCATTCCTTGGGGGAGGCCTATGTTCAGTAGTGGACTTGTGCAGGGCTGTAATGATGATAAGTCATTCTACTCAACGATAAGTCTTTTTTATATCAAAAACAAAAATGTGTCCAAGAAATAAATATTTTATTCCTTGCTTCACTTTACCCTACAGTGGTGAAAAAAGTGTATGTGGCAGTTTTGTACAAGAACCTTAAAAATAGTTTGTTTGATGGTTTTGGAAAGATACAACACTAGTGCATTTTCTATAAAAATAATGAAAAATATGCTATTTATTTATTTATTTAACAATTTATGTGTGTACATAAATTGTTAAATAAATAAATAAATAGCATATAAAATATTTTTTTTTAATGTTACAATGAAGAAAAAAAAATATTTTTACAAAGGCACTGCTTATTTCATATTGAAATTTATTCTTGTTCCAGATAAGCTGATTTTGTTTAAAATGCAATTAACGTAATTTTGACACAAAATAATACGATAGTAATATTATTGCTGCTCATTTACGCAAATTATTATAAAACAAGTTGTAACACCTTAAATGCGATATGCACGCATAAGGACATCACCTGCTCGCCGAACCGACCCGACAGGTTATTGCCTAACAAAAGAAGCGGATGTGCTATCTCGCTCTTTTTTGTATTGTTATTTAGTTTAGTTTAGTTTTGTAGATACAATACTAGCGAATTTTCTTTAATAATAATTAGAAATATGCTATTTTAGTTCAAAGGGGGCTTTTGTATTTAATGCAAGTAATGTGATTTTAAATTCGAAACTTAGTACGGGCGTACTACGATTTGAGTTACATATTAGATAATAATCTACGGCCAACCAGCTTGTCGGTCTGTATTTGACATCTCGAAGGATAAGGTAATACGATAGTAAAAACAGTAGACTTTAACTTAAATTTTATTAAAAAATATTTAAAGAAATCACAATAAATGCATGGAGTTGCTTTCCTTTTGTCCTAATACATGCTCGGCATCTTCTTAAGAATGCATTGTTATAATTGTCTTAGACAATTACTAGAAGTAAAAAGAAAAATTATCTTGTTCTATTATTCTGTTACAAACCCATCTATCAAAATTAAGTATATTCCTTACTAAATAAATGTTATATTCCTAACTATTCAAAGTAATATCTACCAAATACTAAGTTTTAACTAACCTAACACTGGATCAATTAATTTTTGCATGCACACTGTTTTAAAATTGTAAATGTCTCCTTTGAAGCAAGAAATAAAAGGCATTTTTATTTTTTATTACTTTGTGTCAAAATTACGTTAATTGCATTTTAAACAAAAAGCTTATCTGAAACAAAAATAGCATATTTTTCATTATTTCTTAAAGAAAATGCGCTAGCATTGTATCTTTTCGAAACCACCATCAAAAAAGCAATTATTTAAGGTTGTTGTACAAAAGTGTCACATACATTTTTTTCACTACTGGACATGTAGTACTATTTACTGGACACCTATATCATGACACATAAACATTTAAATAAATATTTAGGCGATTAACAATTGAAATACAAACGTGTTGTAACACTATAATAGATTGCCTCGTTATCAGTAAATAGGGTCTCCGGTTCTCATCATTCAACATAAAAAACGAAACAGTAGATTTATGCTGCTTTTTCACGCGGTTTTCTGTGAATACGTGGTCCTCCCCCGGTATAGCCACCTCATTGGTGCTGCAGCCATAATAGCTGCAGCATGGCTCAACCACGTTTCATTAAACGGTATACTGCTTTTTTATCCATTTGTTGGAAAATACTATTCATACTTTGAATAAGCAAAATGGTGGTACCGTTAAAAAGTCTAGCAATTTAAATAAAACTAGTTTTACGGATTTTATCGCGTATATTAATTGGTCACCATGGGTGCTATCAAGTTATGGGTAAAGTCGGAAATATAAAATAAGTTAATATACATGATAAAATCCGTAACACTAGTTTTATTTAAATGTGTAGTGTTCGCGTAAATATAACAAATCATTATGAGTCTAGCAAAGTTGACTAGTAAATTTAGATATATTTTTCATTAATTAGAGTCGAACTGATTGTTAAACACAGTTTTTATTACTTTGAGTTATTATCAAGAAGATACTCCTGCACCTCTTATGTTTCATATACATTTGTTACCTCTTACGACACCCATGCAATGCAACGGGGTAGTGGATACACTTAGGCTGCCACCGCACTGAGTTGAGATTAAACACTATAATTCTTAATAGTACCAATAATTCTTACGACTCGGAAGTTTAGGAACTGTGATTGTTTTTTGACTAATATAATTACGTACAGTAATGTACTTACCTTGGAGTTATGGTACAACATATTCCAACATCCCATTTTGTACCGTGGTTTTCGTAAGAGGCGTTTATGAGATATGCCAAAGATCTTATGGATTCTCATAGATATGACCATCTCGTTAACGCCAGGCGTAAAACACCCAGTCACCAAGAGTGACTATTGCGGCAAATCCTCTTTATGATAGGTCCATGTTAAACAGGACTTGTCCTGATGTGCTTTATTAATGTAAATTGTACGTTGGCAAACATTCAGATCCAGATTGTTGTTGCACATAGTTGTTTTTTTTAAACGAGCATGCGGCTCACCCATGAAGCAAATACAAAGAGGAGACGGCATAAGCAACTGTGCACTGTGATTCTAAGTAGGTCCTTACGTCATCGTAGTGACTTTAGTTAGTATACTGTCAGCATTCGTCCTGTGCGCTTATTTGCCGAAAATATAAAATCGCAAATCGGTGTATTTTCGTAATATTAAGAAGAAAAGGATGATTGTTGAAAATCTCATTTGTTAAAATAGTTCTAGAAAATGTCTTTGAGTCGGCTTTCATATATAATTAAATATATTCAACACTAGATGGCGACACTTTGTGTCATTTGAACTAAAATATAAAGGTACGTAGAGCTCACTATTGGTAAAATAATCATACGAAGGTGCTGAAAATTTGTTTTGCATTCAGACATAAAGTAATTTTAATCGCCAAAATATTATTTTTATAGTTTATAAACAACACATATTTTGTGAACAGGCCGCCATCTATCGTCAAGCTAGCTAAACTACATTGCAACATCAATATGAAACGATTCGAATAGTTTTACTATTTATTGGTAGATGTAGATAATGTAAAGTGGGCGGGACTTAACATCCCTTCACCCCGCAAATTGTCACGCGTTGTTACATAGTGAAATCTAATTACAATACCTCCTCTTTGTATTTGCTTCATGGGCTCACCTGATGGTAAGTGAGTACCGCCGCCCATAAAAAACCGCAACACAAGGGGAATTGCAGATTAGTTGCCAGACTTTTGGAAAGGTGTAAGCTCTTTTCTTGAAGGTCCCTTAGTCGTATCGGTCCGGAAAAATCGCCGGTGGTAAACAATTCTACAGAGAAGCTGTACGAGGAAGAAAACTATAAAAAATAATAAAACGTAGTGAAAAAAGTCGTGGACCGCCCAGCATTCAGATGGTGAGGATGGCATCGTGAATTTTGACGCGATGTGCGTTCGTGAAATTTGGCGCCTGGAATTAATCCGAACAATTTCTCTGAGCACTCCCCGTGGCAGATTCGATAGAAAATACAAAGGGATGCAACATCCCTACGCAGCGCCAGTGTATCGAGCCGATCAGAAAGAACTCGGTCGTCGACGATTCGAACCGCTTTACGCTAGATGCGGTCACGTGGAAGGAGCTGGCACTGGGGTGCCCCGGCCCAGAGATGAGAACTATATATTATCTGAGGGCGAATTTGCGCTTCGTAAAGTTGCAAGCGATGTACCTGCATGAAATACTGTCTCGCTCTGCTGAGCACGCCAAGCTTTTTAGAGGCCAATTTGGCCTTCCCTTCCAAGTGACCACGAAACTGCATACTATTCGATATGTTGACGCCGAAGATTCCGATGCTAGCTGAGGCAGCAATGCCTTGAAACTGAGGAGATACGACAAAGGGGTTCTTTTTATCGGTAAAAGCGCAAACTTGTTTCTTCTGGGGATTGAACTGGACTAGATTTAGTCGCACCGAATTCGAGACTTTATTCAGCAAACACTCGACTTCAGACACAAGTTTGCTCCGGTACTGGGTGATGTTTTCCCGAGAAATATTGGAATGGCCGGTGTATAAGGCATCGCCAGTGCTTTCGTCTGCATAGCAATTAATGATACCCACTTGCAGCATATCATTGATATCCAAAAGAAAAACCAGTAGGCTTATAATTAGAGCATGCACCGTCTACTACGACCTTGATGCTCCGATCAGCATGGGAACTGGTGATTCAATTGCACAATTTCTAGGGAAGCCCACAGGGAGAAGCGCTTTGTTCCAGACCCGATCGAACGCCTTCGCTATGTCCAAACAAACGGCCAATGTCCCCCCCCCCCCTTGGACTCTACTGCCTAGCTGATCAGCTGATCGACCCCGGCGAAAACTCTATTGGCGGTCACTAATGAGCTGGTGATCCTCAAGGTATCTCTTGAGCTGGCAGTATATAATACTCTCTATTATTTTGCAGAACAAGGAGTTTTTTTATAGCATAGGGTGACAAATGAGCTCACAGTCCACCTGATGGTAAGTGGTTGCTGTGGCCCATAGACATCTACATTTATTCTCGTATGCAAAACAAAATGCAGATGCGTTGTCAGCCGTGAGGACTAAGATAGAATGCCTCTTTTTCAGTAAAAAGGGTCTCCGGTTCTCGACACTCACTATACGAAACACAGCACAGAATACCAGCGTACAATAGCAGCTTAACACCTGCTATTGTACGCTGGTATTCTGTGAGAGCGTGGTCCTTCTTCAGTCGAGCCGATCCATTCGTGCTACAACTATCCTACTAATATAGCTGCAGCATGGCTCTACCACGTAAAAAAAGTGTAAAAGTACCACGAGTTGATGGCTATGGGCCTATAGTTGAACGGATCTGAGCGGTCGTCTTTTTTAGGGATCGTGTGGACCAAAGCTGTCTTTCATGAATTCTGGACTACGCCTTGGAAGTAGGATTGCTGGAAAAGATGCGTTAAAACCGCTGCCATCTCTGAAGCACACGTCACCAGCACAATGGAAGGGACTTCATCAGGCCCACTCGACTTGCTGACGTCCAGGGAGAAGAGTGCTTTGCGAATCGAGCGCTGTGTAAATCGCATATTCGGCTTGAGCACTCACACTATGGGATGGTCGGTGGTGGGTTCCCTTCGTCATCTAGATTCGATTTGGATGCAAGGAGCGAGCCTTAAAGATCGGCTTTCTCCTTTGCGGCATGGGCCAGTAAGTCGTCCTCTCTGTGCAGAGATGGAAGAGATGGCTGACAGAAGTTCCCTTGGACAGCATTGGCGAGAGACCTGATTGCACGGGTTCCAGAAGGAAGGTGATCTAGCTACTGGTTTCTGCAAGTTGGTTTTTAGACTCCGCTGCCCTCAGGCGAAACGAATGCAATTGTTTTTCTGTAATATTAGTCAGGATTGCTTTTAAAATATCTCCAAAATATTCAATATAAATTAAACTTACAGTTTGAATCACTGCAAAGAGCATACAACAATATTTTCTTCCCAGAGTATCTACAAAGAAGCTGACAAACGGTATGCTTATCAAGGCGCTGATTGAAGAAAGGCTGCCTAAAAGGGCACCCTCTGTCTCCGTCATTGGTCGGTTGAGGGTCGTGTTTGCAGACGAGAAGAGCTGCAGAGTGGAAGATGGCCAGGCGAACATGACACCAATTGACATGCAGATGTAGCTAGCTGGAAAATATTAGAAATATTTTTGCAAGGTTTTCGTGGAGTTCTATTTACTAGCACCCGCAGCGGTAGCGGCCCCACGACACGCGTTACCGTTACAGCTAAAAGGAAGGAAGGAAAAGGAGTTACAGTTAAAGTCCACTACTGAACAAAGGCCTCCCCCATAGTCTGCCTCATATTAGGGATATTTGTTATAATTGCCACGCTTGGCGAGCAGGTTGGCAACCACAGTTTTTTTTTTATTTTTAGTTGATATTAGGAAGACACTGCTGCCCTTCTTCTGATTTGTCTTCGTCTGTCGTCTCCCACGATACCCACGGGATGATATGGGGTAGTGGATATTCTTACATTACCACTACATGATAGATAGTTAGATAGATAGATAACTCTTTCATTATAATATCGCAAAAGTTATGAACTAGAAACATGATATAATATGTACATTATTATGATGGGAAAATCAAACCATAAGTTTTTTTTAATAGTCGGTAAAGATTGCGCTTGCTGGATATTAAGTGGCAATGAGTTCAAAACTCGGATTGCTTGTGAAGTAAATGACTAATTATAAAACGAAGTTACGCTGCAAGGAGTATTCACAGCCAAGCTATACACTGAACGCAAATTACGACAATAAAATTCATGTCGATAGTGAAATTGTTCCTTTAGGTACCTTAGATTTCGGATCAAACAGTACACAAAACAGTAAAGAAATTATAATACGCATAATATTAGGTCTTTATCTATAAAATTGCCTTTTTAATGAAATAACTTAACGTAGGTAATTATTATTCTATGTTTTTTTATTTCTATTAATCGAAATAATCATCCATACATTCGATGCATCATTGCCAACGCAGTGGCAGTTAATTGATGCCCTTCTTGAAGAAAGCAGCTGGACGGGAGGCAATAAATTCTTCAAAGGCATTTTGTACTGCCTCTCGGGCGTTAAATTTTTTCCCGCAAAAAGTATCCAAATTTTGGAAAAAGAAGAAGTCTATAGCCGCTAGGTCTAGAAGGTCTGGTGAGTAAGCCGGATAACGGACATCTTTCAACTCTAGCTCTTGTAACATGGGGACCAAATATTGTGCGGTATGAGGTCACGCGTTGTTGTGCAGAAACAGCGGGGAAAAACAATTGAACAAAGCCGGTTGGAGATGGGTGAGCTTCTACATCATTGTGTTCAGTTCTTCACAGTATTTAAGTAATAGAATGCAGAAATTTATAATCAATGATAAAAGTTCTTCCGGGTTACCTGTACTAATGGGTATCCCTTAGGGCTCGATTCTCGGCCTATTCCTATTTCTAGTGTATATTAATGACTTACCTTCTCTTGTAGGGGATAATCATGTTATAGTATTATTTGCCGATGATACTTCCTTGATTTTTCAACTTAAACGTCAATCATTTAAATGTAACGAAGTGAATAATGCTATATCAAAATTAGTGCATTGGTTTAACGTTAATAATTAAAATTGAAACGGAAATAAAACCAAATGTATTAAATTTACAAGAACGAATCTTAGAAATCTGAGTACCAATGTGTTTTTAAATGGGAAAGAACTGAGCCCTGTTGTATCCACTGTTTTTCTTGGCATCACTCACGACGCAAAGCTTCAGTGGGGCACCCATATATCCAAACTAGCAAGCAGACTAAGTTCTGCAGCCTATGCTGTAAAAAAGATAAGAGGTCCCACTAGTATCGAGACAGCTAGATTAGTTTATTTCAGTTATTTTCATAGCATAATGTCTTATGGAATTTTGCTATGTGAAAATGCGGCTGATTCAGAAACTATTTTTGTTTTACAGAAGAGGGCCATTAGAGCTATTTACAACCTAAAACCGAGAGAGTCTCTTAGAGATAAATTTAAAGAAGTAAATATATTAACTTTGGCCTCTCAGTATATTTACGAAAATTTAAAGTATGTGTACAAAAAAAAAGGTAGTTTTATAATTAATAGAATCAGGCGTTACTTTGCGGAAATCCATTATGTAAAAGCTTTTAAAAAAATTTACTTTGCAAATATCCGCGTTATAAAATAAAATGATGTATCTTACCTAGTATGAAGAGCGCCTCCTGCCCTCCCTCAATTGCGTGCACTATCCCCGTCACCACTAATCCCAGCACCGCTACTCCCAACACCACTACACTAGGCAAGACACACCACTGACGATAATACGACACGTGTTTCGCCTCTACACGAGGCGTCCTCAGGTGATATAGTTGCTGAGTTGCTTCAGCATAGTTAATTGTTCATTCAGCAACTATGCTACTAACAAACAAATGTTACTAACTCACCTCTCTTAAATATCTTTAAGCCTGCTCTCTAATAATAGAGAGCCTCGCAATATGGTCGTTTGTCACCCTCACGGTGTTCGGCGATTGGTTGCGTGGTTGTAGGGTTGGCGTTGTGCGTTGGTTTTTTTTAATTTTACAAACGGCTGCGTAAGTCCGGCGGTAATTGGTCGCATGTTTTATCGCATGACGCAGTCGCTCGCTCCTTAAGTAGAGAGCGGTTGCGTCAGCGGTCTGTATAAAAGGCACTTGTTTTGGCTCGCCGCTCACTTAGCGGTTAGCCACCGTAGAGTCGGGAAAAAAAAGAAAGTTGATAAGTCAACAATTACATTATGTCAAAAAATTAAAATTAAAATTGTTTTGCGTTCCGGGATCCCCTCCACTAACTCTTAATCTTTATGGTATGGTATTAAAGTTCAAATTGACTTTTAAATATTATTACGAATCTTTTGTATAGGAATATAGAAAAGTGTTGTTTTTATACTTTTTCAGGAATTTTTTTTTAATTTTTTCTCCGTAAGAACCATCTCCCTACTTCAAGGAATATTATAAAAAAAGAATTAACGAAATCATTTCAGCTGCTCTCGAGATTCGCGATTAGCAACACATTCAGCGATTCATTTTTATATTATAGATTTATGGTTAAAATTCTCTTACTTTGCTTTGTGGCTACATAATAGAAACGATCATGTCATTTTAGTACCTTGGGTACCTCATTGGTCTGTTATATTCATTTTTATATTATAGATAATTAAGATCTACGAGTATAAAACGTGTAGTGGCGGTTAAGTATATCCACTACCCCATATCTTCCCGTGGGTGTCGTGAGAGGCAACAGAGGTAAATGGCAGGATTAGTAGTAGATGTTCAGTAGCATCTTTCCGATAACAGCAACGGTACAATAAGAAACTGTGGTGGCCAGCCCTCTCGCCAAAGCGGCAACTATGGCAAATATTCCCTCATAAGCAAGTACAAAAAGAACTGGCCCCTAATCCACGGCGAAGCCGCTATTCCCGGCTACGGTGACGACTATAGTAACGGTTGGGTAAGGGGTGCTAAGAATGTCCGTTGGAGGTTTAGTTCCCACCTAAGACGATTCAACCTAGGAACATTTAACGCATGTACCCTGAATACTAAAAATAAGATCGTGGAGCTGAAAGAAGAGATGCATGGAATATTGCTGCCATATATGGGCTGGTGCTGCAAAATGCCACCTCTTAAACTGACCTTATTTGATGACTGATGGCAGATGAGTGATAGCGAGTGTGAAAACAAGCAGCGATCACCGAATGGTTAGTGGCACACTAAACTTAAATGTTAAGTTGTAGACTTGCTCTAATTCAAAGTCCCGAAAACTTTCTGCTCGAGTAACAAAACTGTTTCTAACGCATAAACTGCAAAGCAGTGAACAGTACGAACGAAATCTCTCAGAAACTGTCCTTACGGTCGGTGGTAAGTTCTGCAAGATCCGTCAAAGAAGAACCCAAAAACTCTCCGACTACACTCTTAATCTCATGGCTCATCATAGGAAATGAAGTCTTCAGAAGATTTGACAGCATACAAGCATTTGAACAGACAAATCTCGAAATTCATGCGGCGGGATACACGAAACTTTAATACAGCTCGTATTGAAGAAGCTATCAAGCGTAACCAGAGAATATCTGCCAGAAAGAACCAACTGTTGAAGCTGAGGTTCGAATGTGGTAGTATTGTTTCCGGGACACCTGAGGTTTTGAGTACAATTGAGAGGGTCTATGAGCAGCTGTACACGTCATCGTTGGAGCCAACGCAAGTGTGAGTGAGGATCAAAGAGCAAGTCTTATCTGATACTATTCCGAAGATGAGCAACGAGCGAAAGACGTCAGTATGACATAGATAAGAATGACTCTCCGGCACATTAAAAACGGCAAGTTCCCAGGCGTGTGTGGAATTACAGCGGAGCTTCTGAAGGCGTCTGGATAACTATTCTTGCGCTATGGCACCGCCATAATTATTACCAATTGAAATCTGATCTGTTCACCTGATTTTGTCCCCATCGTGTCGGAAAAGGCTAACGTGGAACATTCCTGTAACGATATTGGAACTTAAAGACTTAAAGACACCTATATCAACGATATGGAACATAATATGATGTTCTGTGTCCTTCTAATTATTAAATAAATTACTTGACCAAAATCAGGAAGTGGATGAAGTATGATAATTTTTACATTGATATACTTTTTTGTGTTAGAAGCCTATAGTCTATACCAAGATGAGGTTTGCTTGAAGAGTTAAGGCTGTGATCATTCTAACATTAATCTAATATAGCTAAAACATTAGCGCATTAACTTGTGGCAAGAATTATATATTATATAGTATTGTAGTCATTCAACTATAAATAAAAATAGACATTGATTACCGTGGCAATAGTTATGTAAATTTAAATTTATTCAAACTAGCTGTTGAACTTTGCTTAGTAACTAGGTATATAACTAGTTTGGCCTTAAAAATAGTTACGATATAAATATTTTTTCCTATTTATCTGAATTCAAAGAATAATGAGCCACTTCTAAACATTTTTGTAAGCTAGTTTTCCTTGCGTCATGAAATTTAAAATATTTAAAATACAGAGTTTGAAATGCTGAACAATTTTGGTAGGAAGTTAGGAATTAAATATATTCCAGTTTGAACAAAATCCACATCAGAATAGCCTGTATGGTATAAAACTATT